ACACATTTCTAAACATAATAGTTTTAATAACTCATTTCTAATAACTTATTCATTTTTTCTTTGCTATAATGACAGTAAATAATATTTGACTATAATTGTTTTAGGATACTTCTATAAAGCTTAAAGTAATATTTAAAGGCTAGGTTTATTAGGTTAACTAGGTTAGGGTAATTAGGCAAGTTATTTAACAATGGTTTGTTTTGTAGACTATCGAAAGAAAATATAGCTTAAAGGGGCTAATAATATTGTCCATAAAATGCTTTTTTAAAAATTAAAAACTGATTTTATTCTAGCTAAAATAAAACAAATAAGACTTTTTCCAATAGAAAAAATATTATCAGACATACTGTGAAAATTTCCTTGCTCTGTTAAACATCATTTGGGATTTTTTTTTAAAGACTTCAACTGTATGGACAGAAGGAAATGTGCAAAACAAAGTTTATGGAACATGATTGTAAATTAAAATCTTATGGATTATTGGATTTAAAGAACAAATGTTAATTTGGACCTATACAATGTATCTGTGCAATATCCCAACAACATTGGTTTTGTGTTTCAGTGTCACAATTTTTAAAACATATAGCTTTTCTCATGTTCCTCATTTCTACATCACTGTGGATAAATGCGTCAGCTAAATGAACTGATTCAAATAGGACTTGAACCTGCAGATCCACCTTTATTTTGAGCATTAACACAGCCTATATCTGCTTGCTTTCTAAAAAGTGGAATGACTCAGGAACACCATTACGCCTTGGCCTCTAGATCCATTCAAGATCACGGCAGATGAAAATGTCCATTCATTCAGATTCTGAGCAGCGCTGCTCTTATTACCGCAGGCTGTTCTCACTAAAGAGCACCTTAGTGTGAGACGGCAATAAAGAATAACGACCACATTACCAAATGTGCTGGTGGCACCATCGTAACAGCCCTGGCGAGCAAAAATGAGGACAGAAATAAAATGGTGAACCCCATTTTCAAAACCGCTGAAAGCTCATTGAGTTCAGGACATCAGTGCAAACTGGAAATGCATTCAGGAAACTCAGGCTCATATTTTGAACCATGAACACAGACACTATATACTGAAGTATGCACATTAATTCTCAGGTCTATGAAAGCATTTACCAGTGCACCACAAGGGGTGAGACAAAAATGTCTTGTGGCATTAGTAAAGCGTGGAACTCAAATGCCATTCAGAAGGTCATGAGAATGGGATTTAAAAAATAAATGAAAAATAGGATCTAACCTGCCATGCATTGACTTGAACGACAACAGCTGCTGTTGTGAGAGTGGTTGGAAAATAATATCAGAATTAAATTGCATAGAATAGAAATTAAAAATGTAAACAATAATAAGTCATAAGTAAAGTCAATAATAGGTCAATAATAAGTAAGTTTTTCTTAATAAATGATGCTATTTTTTTATTTTGATTATTTATTTTAAACATCAGTTGGCAAAAACAAAGGATTAAATATTAAACAAGGCACTTGTTAATTAACTCTATTTAAAAATATATATTTTAACTTTTTTTTATTCAATTCTGCTGTATCAATTGCATATTTCAAATACTTTTCCTTTAATTTCTCGACATAGAGCATGGAAAACATTTAGGGGGAAATCTTTTTTTTTTTTAACCATCATTTGGTGAAGACAGTATCAACAACTAATTGACAATCATTATCTATAGTAATGCTCACTCTTTCTCTTTGCTGTTAATGGTTTGTTAATGGTTAATGGTTTTTCATACTGCCAGTGTGTCTGTGGGGTTTTAAAAAGTCATAAAAAGGCTTAAATACCAAAAACTGAATTTCAGTCCTTAAATAGTCTTAAATTCATTAAAATATTATCTTGTAGGTCTTAAAACAAAAGCTTTTAGCAAAACTCTACTTATAACTAAGATACAGTCTGTTGTGCATATTTAGTTTATCAGTTTTAATTTCCGTTATGTTAAAAAAAACACAAGCAGACCTTTTAAAATAATAAGTAATTATTTTAAGTAATTTTTAAAAGTAATTAAAATATGTTGCTAAGAAATAACTAATTATAATTGATGGGGCAAGTAATTTTTTTTATTGCTGGAAAAAAACCTTAGTTAGTGCTAAGTTCTATACAAGTCTAAAGTTTCATTCTTGATGGTCTTTAAAAGGTCTTAAAAAGTCTTGAATTTGACTTGGTGAAACCTCCAGAAACCCTGACTGCTCATTTGCTTATCCGAATCAGTATTCATTCTTGATGGTCTCAAAAAGTCTTGAATTTGACTGAAACCCTGACTGCTCATCTGTAAGTCACTTTCAATAGGTGTCTAGAAAGATGCTAATTGTATTAAATATTTTGTAAAATATGGATATAATTATGTTGCAACTTAGAATTAAACATATGAAAGAAAACAGAATGTTTTAACATTAAACATTGTGCTTTTAAATTTTAGAAGTTTCAAAGGCTTTGTAAATGTAGCTGTATGTTGACGGGGTGTCCTGTATTGTACTGCATGAAATATCTTGTAATCTACACTGGTTTTTATTTATGAGCAAATTTATTGTTTGCTGACTTTGTAAAAACTCACAGTTGCATAGCTTAGCATGTCAGAATGTGTGCACACCGCAGTCTCTGTGGCAGGCAAAGGCAATGCAAAGTGGTTTCCCTCAACAATACAGCTAATGGAAACAGAGTAGAAATGCATCATAATGAAAGCCCGGGTCAAACGAGGGGAACGATTCCTCAGGGGTGGAATCAAAACATGGAGCCGCATGAAACTGAGACTCAGATTTCACTGCTGCACAATTCGATTGTGTGATACCACTCAGTGCTACTATAATATTCATAATTACGGTAACACGTTGAGAAGGGAGTACATTTTCTTCATATGATATAATGTGATCAATGCTCGTTACAAACAAAGACGATTCTGAAATTACAGTGCGCTCAGATCAAGAATTATATGGGAAGCAGGAATCGAAATATTCTGCTCAAACGACTGACACATGCAAAATAAAATTGGATTTGATTACGTTAATTAGACAGAAGCAATACACATAAACAATACACTAATTAATAACTTGCTTAATAATTTACATCAGGCTTTAATGACGCTCAACAGTGAATAAATGAGTTTCTAACTAACTCGTTTCTATTGCAACAAACTGTCTGAAATGAAATCAACCCCAGGCTTCAGCTCCATTCTCTCCCTCCAGACTCCAAAACTGAAATCACTCCTGGGAGACAGGGAATAAATGGTTATGATCCAGTTTTATGGGAACCAAACCAAAGAAACTCGCAATCAAAGCCCGAGCCAGTAGAACAAAGAGCAAGACTACAATAATAAATATTTGCCGAACCCTAATCAGAGTGCACCAGAAAAGCAAACCTTGTCTAAATCATTTTCCAGGTCAAGTACGCTACTTGAGAGCTCAGCATTAGGGATTTTTTTTTATATAACTTGAGCTTTGCATCATACATTGAGCCAAAGTTGCAACATCTATAAAATATTAGGGAAAAAGAATGTGAAATGTATGGAAAATATGCAAACGCCAGAGTTAAATTAAGGCCAAATGTTAGGGAAGTGGTGCATGTAGATTCCTGGTGTTTCCAGCGTTCTACCCCTGCTGTGTTACACGGCCTCAACCCCTTTTGTGTAGGGTTAACCCGTTAAATCCCACCAAAGTGGCTATTCAGTGGAGTGCCATCCACCCCAGGGGTTATTGTGATGGGTCTTTGTTAAGAACAACAGACGTAAAGAGGATAAGACACCAGCAGCACTTCCTAACTTCCCCCATAGTCTTCTCACTTTCTTTGCACTGGTAGGGCAAGTGCCTAAAGTGATTGATCCCCCCCCACCTCTCTCTCTCTTTCCTGTTTAACATTAGGAAACTGGTTGGACTGACACCAAGTGCATGGAATTGGTGCAACCACATGGCATCTTTTAAATGTAAATTTATGAGGGTTGTTTGGGTTTATTTCAGGGTATAGGTTTGAATTTTGATTGACTGGATTACAAGAAGACATTTTCTCCTTTGCCCACTTCTGGTCAATTTGTCTGAGTGTGCAGGTGTATATATGGGCATTTTTGATCTAGTATTGTCAAATAAGCTTTTCTACCTCACAATGAATGTAAAAGGAGTTTATTAAAACATTACACAGAAAGTTTTTAGTTTTTATTGTCCCAAAACTACATCAAACACTGCGAGTTTGTGTTTGAATTATGACTGGTAAAAAAAAATGTGTTTTTTACATTTATTTTTGACTGCAAACCAAACTTTTAAATGTTTAAAGTGTCTTTAAAGGCTCCTGTCGACTTTAGTGGCTGATAAAAGGCAACTACATGAGCATCTACATCCTATTGAATGTGTTCATCAACTTTTTTTTGCCAACCATCTACCTCTTTAAACATGGTTGAAGTCATCTAGATGTGATCAGATAAATAAAAGCACATCTTATTAATTTATGAAAACAGGGACACAGAAAAAAAACAACAACTTGAAATATTTTGAAAATACAGGCTGGCTAGAATTTTCATCACATCTTTTTAACATATTTCCTAGGAATGCACCAATATGGAAATTTGGGTTGATACTGATAACTCTTTTTATTTGTACGCCAACAACCAATAGGCTGATAAATATAAATCTTGATATGAATAATTCACAATTTATTGACTCTAAAAGTCAAGGTTTTAAAACCACCAAAATTTTCTGCAATACCGAAGGTATGTGTGTATGTGTACGATTTTTTATTTACTTTTTTGGTTTTACTTTTTTAGGACAACAGTGTTTCCGTCAGAAAAGATATCCAAAGATGCCGGTTTAAATTGTAAAAAAAAAAAAAAAAAGAAAAAATTATAATAATCTGTTTTTGAAACAAATGAAGACAGCAGAAGTCAATAATTCATTTAGCCTGACGTTTACTGTTCGAATATATTTTAAATGTTACTCAAAATTAAATAAACTGTGTTCAAAAATGAAAAAAAGTGGATACAATATTTTATCCAAGGTTATCATACCGTCAGAACCTTATACAGGCCCATGCCTAATACACCTTGCCAAAACTTTTTTCCACAGATAACGTCATTAAAAACATAATTTAATGTAGGAGACTTTCTAATATTTTTTTACCAGACAACGAAACAGAGTGGCAGCTTTCATTTCTGCACTGATAGTTGTAAAACCATGGAAAATATAATTTTAGATGAGTTTAAATCTGTCTTAATGCTTCAACAACAAGAGTCAGTAGAAATTAGTAGACAGAGAGCGAGTGATCTTTTGTGTCTGCTCATACACATTTGACCACATAAGAGTCTACACTACAAAAGTAGTCTGGTATTAGACGAGCACAAGATCTTTCAGACCAAGTATAAACCTGTATTCAGCATCATCGAACAAAAAAGATGCATATTAATGCTGTGGGGAACCAGGTCCACAGAGACAACAACAAAAATGGATTAAACGCTGCCTAGATTAAATATTAATGATGATATTTAATAAACTTCACTTTCTCAGGAATAGAAACACTACCTGGAAAATCAGAGCCACAAATAAATGAAAACCATCCATGCAACCTCTAAAACAAATTCAAATTAAACGTTCAAAATGCCTTTTTTCCCCTCACGATGAAAAAAAAAAAAGTTCTTCATATTCGATCGCTAATTTAAACCTGTGTGAAATTACAAATGCTCTATCATTAAAACATTTTTTTTTACGTTTATAATGAAATGACAGATTTCCGCATGCTTGAAATGATAGGGCGCATTTTCGCCTTCCCTTTAATCACGGGTCACTGGTCAGAAAATATATTCTCGCTCTTGCTTCCCTCTAAGCAGGTGAACCGAGCTCAAGACTTTCCCACGATCCCTCAGTAAATCTGTCTTTGCTCTGCCCCTTTCCTCTGTCCCAGCCATCTGTCTGTTTTTCAGAGCGCGTCTGCTGGAGCGAATGTCAGCTGCGGGGACAAGTCCAGCATTCCCAAACACATCTCACCACAACATTTAGCCACAAATACAAATATTTTGCTCCACAAATGAAGACTGCGTTACTAAAAATGCTGGAATGCTAAATTCTTTCTCTCCGTCTTTCTTTAACAGAAACCTATGGTTTTCCAGGCAGACCAAGACAGCGAAATTGACAAAGGTAAGCACATCTTTTTTTCTAGATTCACCATTATCAAGCAACAGTCTACTTCATCATTCAAAAACTGACTAATTAATAGCACAAAATTCATCCAGGGACAGAAATTTTCTAAAGTTTTCCTAAGAAAAAAAAATCCATAACTGAAACTAAATACATTCAAATCAAACATACCATCTGCAACAGATCCATACCCCTGACTTATTTTAACTCAAAACCAAAACCCCCCAAAAATGCTTTGCTAAAAAAAAAATTAATAAATAATAACACAGCTATGTTACGCAGTCATGTGACATACAGTCTCCTTTCTATCCTCCATCATTTCGGCTTTCTCCTGCGAGCAGCCAATGCACGTATCATTAGAGTGCTGAAAGCAGCGCGCCTGGTGCCGCGGGTCTCCTCCTGCGCTGCCTTCCCTCCAAACGCATGACATTGGCTGGCTGAGAGCATGAGAACGGAGCCTTTTCAATAGCAGGATCCTCATACTTGGCCAGTAACCATGGAAGCAGATGCCTACTCACTTTGCCCTCCTTACCTCCTTGCTCCCTCATTGAAAAGGAGGGCACGCCTCGCTTTCTTCTTCCTGACCGAACTTGCCTGGCCCTCAAAGGGAGCGATTGAGCAGGTCACCGGTCTAGACTTGTTTGCATGGTCCGTGGAGCAGTCTTGAGGTAACCCTTGCTCCCCGCCCGTCGCACCGGCACAGACTGCAGGGGGGGACCATCGGAGATGCGAATTTGAAAAGGAGCCCTGTCCGATTTTGCCTTTGTGCCTTTTCCCTCATCGATCGGCTGAATATCGAACCCTCTGTCTGTGCATGTGTGAAACGGATAGCTTAGTAAGCATTTTTTCTAATCAAGCTTGCGTTGTGGGCCAACTCTCTCGTTTTTCTCTCCCGCTCTCGAACCCTCCCTCTCTCCTCTCTCTTTTTTCTTCCTTTCTTTCTCCATTTCTCTCTCACTTTCTGCGTTTTGGCACTTTCTGTGTTTTGATTATCTTGGACGTTTGGCATGTTGCGATGCTTCTGATCAGTGTCTCTTTTTTTTAATCTGTGGATTTTGCATGCTGCTTTCTCTGTTTGCTTTTCGATTTCAACTGGGATCAAATAGAGGGACGTTTCAGACTATTTATACCAAAAACTGGCTGCTGCTTTGCTTTTAATTCATCATGTTTTTTTCTTAAAAACTAAAAAAAATGTAACAATTTTTATGTGAAAATACTGGTGTGTCTCATAAGGTGAGTATAATTACGTTCTTATGTATTAGATCTGAAATAAACAGTTAGTGTAAAAGATTCAATTAAAAAAGAAAAATCAAATCTCTTTTCTCCTGTTTCCTGATATATGTGCTCTAACTGAAATATTTATGTTGAGTTTTCTGACATTAAAGCTGCAAGTCTTTGAACTTAAACATGTCTTTTGGCACTGTGACGTGCTGCAATTATTGTGGGATTATTCGGCTTAAACTGTTCATTTTGCGAGGAGATTTGAGATGTAAGAAGTAATACATTTTCACTTACAGTATGTCAAACAACATTGTATTAGACTTCCTAAATATTAATGCAAGAACATTTATTTCGATTAGATTTTTTAGGCTGTTTCTGAAGGAAGTGACTGTTACAAAAGAAAAAAAACATTAAGTGAAACATTTAAAAGATTATTATTAAATTAATTGAAGATAATTAATTTATTTTATGATTAATTTACTGTGATGAACATATTTATTTATTAAAGCCACTATATAGAGAAAACAGCATATCAATATTGATCATTTTTTTTATTGTTAGTGGCATAGAAATGAATAGAATTGTTAAATTCTTGAAAATAATGAAAATTTTTGCAAATATTAAAATGAATCAAAATATTATTATTATGGTGCAATATTATTTTAAAAGAATAAGACTGTATTATTAGCCTTTGTTTAAGTTGTAATGAAATCTTATAAAAAAAAAAACACCTTAAAAAGAGTTTATAAGAAATATTAAAAAAAAACATTTTTAATGAAACAAATTAGCAATGATATAATCTTGCTCCTTGGTTCCTAAGATATCACATATTCCCAATATATTCTGTAATATTTGAACGTATATTCCAATACACAATACTTTAAAGGGCAATAAAATGTCAGTGAAATTGCATAATAAAAATAAAAAGCATTTAAATGAAAAACTATGATATTCTTAATTTTTAAATCATCACATATTTCCTAAATATTAATTTATTTGAATTATAGCATTATGGTCCAAGAAATTTCATACAAACTCTTTTATTTATCGTATCAACGTTTTTAATGTCCTTTCGCCCCTTTTTTCCTGCTCAATTAATTTTCGGTGAAGGATTGAGAATGCACCAGACTGGGTGTTTAAGGGTGCAGAAGTGGGGATTTTTTTTGGAGAACTGTGATTGGATGGAGCCTCACGCAGTGAACCACACGCGCCATGTCAGTAGCTGACAGTGAGGTCACAGAAAATGGAAGCTCAAGGTCTGAGTTCAGTCTGGAAATTACCCACTGTCTGATTCCACTTACTGACTATTGTCATAAAAATACAGGCCTTGTCCCATTTAAATGCACAAACATTAAAAGTAATTGGTCATCTATTTCCAGTCCGTGCATTTTGAACAGCTGCTCAGAAGACAGAGCATTTTTGTTCTCTATTTTAAACACATTTATTTTGTGTTGTAATTACGAGCCTTTTGAACATATATTTCACTTATTATGTTCTTAAATGTTTTACATTAAAAACTCTTAATCTTATTCAATTAAGGTTTCAAAAATATTTCGTTAAAAGTGATGCAATAAATAGGCAATTTTTGTTATCTAAATAGCCTTTCATTTAAGATCGTTTTGCTTTCCATTTTTAATAATCATTTTGAAAATGTTAAAGGTTCTTTATGGAACAACCAATGCCAATAAGGAATCTTCAGTCCTCAGTCTTCTTACAGACCAAATGTATGAATGCATTCAAATCATCAATCAGTTATCTGTAGAATTAATGATTTAAAATAATACATTTATTTTATGATTCATTTACAGTGTCGGAATGAGTTTAATATTAAAGTCAGTATATATGGAAGTATATGATTTAAAATTGATATCTATGGTATTATAAAAAACATACTAAATAGCAATTTCAAATAAATAATCATTTGTGTTAATGTATTTTGTATATTAATAAACAATTTATGACAACACAAATACAGATGTATAAATATTTTCAAGCCAAATCAACCAAATCTACATTTTATTTTAAATCTGCACTCAGAATCTATTAAAAAGTGTTTTTCTTTTTCTTTTAAATAAAAAGGCACAATTATATACTCAGTCAAAATCATTATAAGACAACATTTTGATTATTTAAAGTAGTCTTCTATGCACGAAAATAACAAATTAACAAACTACATAGAGATAAACACTAGATCTGCTCATCAGTCAATGTGATCCAGCCAGCGAGCTTCACTATAATGCAATTATGTGACTTGTGGTATGCATTGAACAGCCCGGTTCAGAAGTGTTGTTAGCTATGTATATGTCAGTGTTCTGACTTTGAGACAGCAGTTCAATATGTTCGTTCGCCTCACCCGAACGTGAGACTCACAATAGACAATAAGGCCAAGACCAGCTGTGATTTTTCTGTTGATCTCGCTCTATGCATTATTTATAGTCACATCAGAAGATTAGGCTGAAAGCTTGACCCTCGCGCATGACATTGTCTCCAGCCCATTCACGTTCTGGTCAGTGCTAACAAATGATAACCGCAAATGTCCACCAATAATCCCACTGCTTTGGCCTCATGCCTTTTAAGAATTGAGTTTTAATCAGTCTGTTTATTTCACACCGCTATATATGTATATTGTTTTGATAATTATTTTAAATGGTGGATTACAGTATATTATGCTTAAGATAAAATATCGAATTAAATGTATTAAAATTCAAAAATGCTTTTTAGAAATAATATAAAAATAGATTTGATACTCTTAAAATGACAAAGAATATAATGCCAACAGTAGGTTGAGAGGAAATATTTTGTTTAAAACAAATTACAAAACAATAATGTTAATAATAATATAAAATTAAAATAACAGCACTTTTCACCCTGTCATGCAACAATGAAATATTCAGCATATAGTAATAGTTTTTAGTTGTTTGTTTTTATTTCACTATGCCACATTTTCCTTGTTTTAATTAAACATGCACTGAATAAAGTTCAGTTTGTATCTCATAACCTTGCGTTTTTCTCATTTTATTGCCTGCATTTCTTGTTTTTCAACACAAAAACACAATCTGTGTGGACAGCCCAGTATATTTAAGCGAATCCCACTGGAAGATTTACTTGTTTGTTTGTTTGTTTATTTATTTATTTATTTATTTATTTATGTTTTATTTAATTAGTTAGTATAAAAATTGACAGGTTTTAGAAAGCAAAAAAACTGTTCTTGTACAGTGGAAAAAGGAAACGTTTGATAATCTTGCTCTTGAAAAATTAACATGTAATTAGAGGTAAAGCAGAGACTTTTGAAGAAGTGTGGTCTCCTTCTGGTCACTTTATAATTGGACAGATGAAAATAGATGTCTTTGGAACGAGGACTTTAATTTAAAATTAAATGTAATAATGTTTGTTTTGTATTATTAAATATATACGCCCACACACACTGGTCAATATATATGATTTTATTGTTTTGTATTTTATTTTTATAATTTATTTTAAATGTTATTTTTGTTTAACAAGTGTTGGGCTGGGAAAGTACATTCTGAAATATTATATAAGTTAACATGCTTTATTGTTTGCTGGGCTTTGTAATATAATTAAATCAATAAAAACAAACTTGATATATACATATATATATATAATTCATACAATTATTTTACTAATTCAACTAATTTACCAATGCTTTCTTCATAATTCAGCATTTAAAATAAAAAATAAATTACAGGGGTGGAAAAGCATCCACTTTTTTGTGTATTGTACATCAAGAAGTCCTTAAATAAACAAGAGATAACAGTTTCTGTCCTCCTTTGAGGAAGCAACACAAAAAGATTCCCTGAGCTAACAAACAGCATTATCTGTTTAATTGCCTGAGAACTGTTAAATAGCCTCTATTTACATGACAAGATGCAGCTTGTTGTGAAGTGTGACATAAACGAGCCGATAGACAAAAGATGACGGCCGGTCACCACCGCCCCTGCACCCCCCAAAGGCAGAGTCCGGCTCATGAATGACACACACCGAAACAAGCAAACATACACACACACACACGCACACACACACACACACTGACACAAGATTAATTGCTTTTTGAACAGGTTAACAGGGATTTAGGATCTATCCTGCCACACACACACACACACACACACACACACACACACACACACACACACACACACACACACACACACACACTTCAGTGTATACATTATGATGCTACAACAGCAGTGTCAATGTATTAGAAACAACATATGTAAACAGAAAGTACAATAAAATGTGTGTAAAATATAAATATATATGTACTAAATGTATATGAGCTGTTATATAAAAAGAGTTTTTACGATCATTAATTTTTTCAGAAAGTATTTTTTTATTTGATTAATTTTGTTTATATTTAGTTATAAAAAAGCACAAAATATATAAAGAAATTATGCACAGATATTAAAGATTTAATCTAACATAAAATATATATAATTTTTGCAGTGCAGTGCTTCACAAAGATTCATTTAAAATTCTATTAGAACATAGAAAATATTTCTTTAGTATAACTGTGTTTAATATAACATTTATTAGAATGTAATCACAATGAATCAGTTTAATTTAACATCTATATAACAAAGGTTCAAAGGGGTCAAATCATCAGTCACAAGTTTGATTGAATTATTCAGTAAATTTCAATGATTTCAGTCAAAATCTTTCTCATAAGATTGCTAAAAATATTTGATTTCAAAACCTAAATAATAAAATAAAATACTATTTTTGAAACATGCATCCAGACGTCTGAAGCTTGATCTATGATAACTGATCACAGATGAATGTTAAAAAGTGCAGATAGAGTTTGAATCGAGGATGACCTGAAGCCACAGTGACTTGGAGAAACGACTAGAATCACACTGAGGGAGGAAAAAAAAGGGAGCAGGACTTCATTCTGTCGTCTCTCTCCCTCTCTCTCTCCTTTTCTCCTGCTGTCTTTGTGTCGTGCAGGAATGTGCTTGCTTTTCATTTCGGTCTTTGTGTTTTGCCCCTCAGGCCCTCGCAGGCAGTGTCTTATGCCACAGCAGGGTCACGGCAAACACAGAGACACATTCATGGCCACATCAAGTTTATGTGAGAATCTGCTCTTTCCTTGGCCCTCATTTCCATATGAATTGTTAATAAAATAGCAGTCCTGTTGAGGGGGAGATCAGTCCGGCCAGGGAAGTCAAGCAAAGCAACCTTGGGTAAAAAAAAAAAACGGCCTCATCCCTTCTGTTGCTCGGGTGTGGAAACGGTCCGGTCGTGAACATATGTCATCATTATTGACAACGTTTTCTTTAGCTAAAACCACCTGTGAACTTCTCCTTCGCCAAACACCGGGGGGAATGGGATGTTTAGATTAATGGCCGAATGGAAGTATGCATCTGACTGATTAGAGGATTTGAGAGTAGATATTTTGAATGTCACTTTTGTTAGGTTAAAACTAGGTCTGAAAACTGTAAAATTGAAAATGTAGAACATATTTATTTTCAAATTTACATAAGATAAAATAAACATGAAAGCAGTTACTTCATAAACTTATCTTAGAAATATTTTTCCAAATATTGTTCGATTTTGGTGTTTGCATGAAATGAAATATATAAATGTAATGCACTTTTTGGAAAAGTGACTAATTTAATTCTTTCTAACTTTTGAGTAAATTGTCAAAATGAGGGTGAAATAATGTTGCATTGTTATTTAGCAGATATACTTACGTAAAGATAAAACAAGATATGTATTCTGCTCCGATCTTATTAAAACAAATACAATGTGATCACAATAAATGTTATTATATTTTCACATTACACATTCCTTAAAAAAACAAGCTTGAAGGATATTATTTAAAATGACAATTTTGTTGCTTGGCAGCAATTCTTTACTGTTTTTAAAGTATACAAAAAAAAAAAGTCCTGACAAGATTTTTTGGTACATAAACTTACCTTGTAAACTATGGTAAAATACATTATAGTCATATGATCCAAACATTTTTTAATGTAGGAAAATAATAAAGCTCTATCATGCCCTCTTTGTTATGCTTGAAAATCTCCTTTCCCTTATATAATAGAAATAATATGAGGAAGATATCATGAACAACACTGAATTATTCTGAGCTGCTGAACACAGACAGCCAATCAGAATCATTCAAGAGTGCAAGCATTTAAAGAGGCAGGTAACAAAAAAACTGCAGTATGCTTATACTGTAATAAAGAGGAACGATCTGGTGTCAAATCTCTGTAATCCGTAAAAGCTTTATAGCAATTACAAAGGTTTATACATTGTCATGCAGTTGTAGTTAGAATTATTAGCTGCCCTTTGATTTTTTTTCTTTTTTAAATGTTTCCAAAATGATGTTTAACAGAGCAAGGACATTTTCACAGTATGTCTGATAATATTTTTTCTTCTAGACAAAGTCTTATTTGTTTTATTTCGCTAGAGTAAAAGCTGTTTTTATTCTTTAAAGCCATTTTAAGGTCAAAACTATTAGACCTTTTAAGCTAGATCTTTTGTGGGTAGTCTACAGAACAAACCATCATTATAGTATAACTTGCCTAATTACCCTATCCTGCCTAATTAACCTAGTTAAGCCTTTAAATGTCACTTTAAGCTGTATAGAAGTGTCTTGAAAAATATCTAGTCAAATATTATTTACTGTCATTATGGCAAAGATAAAATAAATCAGTTATTAGAAATGAGTTATTAAAACTATTATGTTTAGAAATGTGTTTTAAAAAAAAAAGTCTTTTGTCCATTAAACAGAAATTGTGGAAAAAAAAATAAACGGGGTAATAATTCAAGGGGCTAATAATTCTGAATTCTAGTCTGCAATAAAACTGCATTTTTACTTGAAGAACACTGTCTTCAAAATCATTGTTATGCCTTGGGAGCGGGATTTATCTTGAAGGGCTAGATAAAATTATCACTTAAATATTATTTTTAAAAAGCCATAAAAACTGATACTATAAGCTGGGTCTATAGGAATAGACCAGGAGTGGTTTTGGCTGCAATTCTTTCAGCAATATAAGTCTTAATTTTAGGTCTAGGAGGTTTAAATGGCAGCATTTTTCTGTTCTTTTGGTGCCAGTGTGTGCTGGTTAAAGCCATTGTGAGCATATTTCATTACTATTGACTCCGATTAATTTAGCAAAACCACCTGTGAACGAAACACCAGTGCAAACTGTATATTTAGATTAATGGCTGAATGAAAATAGCATGCCTGAATAATCAATAGATTTGAGTAATAGCCATATTAAGTTTCGAGTTTTGTTGGGTAGAGTGGTTACCGCAGAAGTTCTTACACATGAACTTATACATCAAAGTCATAAGTTTTCTTTTGGAAATTTAGTAAGGAATAACACAAACATGCTCTGTAAATTTAACAGATTTGCATATTATGCGACGCTTACAAATAGCATTTTGGGACTTTGATCTCTGTTTTGACAACTTTAAATGTTAACCATAAAACATTATTTGATTGACTTTTTTTTTTCCAAGTTTAAAGCAAGATATAAATAAGTTATAAAAAAAAGTAGTTATTATATTTGCTAAAAATCTCAGAAATATCAGATCTAAATAAAACAATTTTTCACTCAATTACCTAAGCATAAGAGTTCCAATAAATCTCAAAAACCTGACAATGTTCATGTGGACTTTTTCTCTCATCTTTATAAATAGAAATAAAAAGGTGTAATAACAGAAAAATGACTGGCAACCAATTTTTAATGCGCAATTTACCTAACCAAACCAGAAAATATAGCATTATCAAAGTACTATAAATGTCAATTAAAGTCAAATTGTCAACATCAAAACTTGTCAATGCAGAGATCCTAGTCCCAATTTTGTGAAAATAACGTTCTCAATTTGGGTCTTCTGGACTGGGCTCAGGATGCATCTTGAAGGGGCGGTCAGACGATTGACTTTTGTTTTGGCTCAACACACGTGTCCAGTGACCCCGGCACACTTTCCCATGCCCTCCGATGCCCCATCTATTGTACCAAACGGCCCTG